GGAATGAAGCAAACAGATGCAACGGATAGCAGTGGCGTGGCGTGCTTAGCGATATATCGATTGTCTGTCCTTTAAAACTACTAAAAATGATCGATAAACAGGGTGTGCGCAACAAACGCCTTAATAATCGATTCTTTACCATAGCTTCAAATGGAGAATTATCGATGATCGATCGTCAACGCCTCGCCACTGACGGACAGCGTATTGCCCAAGCGAGATTCGCCGGCCGTCGACATACTACGGGTACAATTTCAGTCATCATTGGAATCAACACGAGGAAGAAAGCACGTAACTGTAATAGAAAAGTCTATGTGCGTACGTGGTTTTTGTCAAGCGTGGCAGAGTTAGACTAGGAATTCGAGTGATCTAGACGGCAAGGCGCGCGTCTTAACTCTCGCGTCGCACAATGGAGCAAGCTATTGGGAGAATTCGAACACGAAATTCTTGCCTAAAATTTCAAATGTTGATGTTGATTTCGGCTCATTGTAAAGAAAAGGTTTCGATGTGGACAATTTTGGGACCCAACCTAGCGACATGTCCTCAACTTTAAAATTTTTTTGCTCATATTTGGACCGCGCTTAGCAAAAAGGAGTCAAGCCATATCAGCTATCGCCAAATTTAACTGAACAATTTAATTGTTCACAAGAGAAATTTGGCTGGATTCTTTTGCAAATTTTAAGGAATTTGCTTCGCACTATGCAGAAAATTCACTGTTTATACATAAATCCGCACAACCGTTTTCATGTAAATAGTTAATGTGCCCGACTAAATTTGGCATTAGCTGATGCGGCTTGGTTCCTTTCTGCTTAAATCGGTCCATTTTACGACATGAAGCATAATTTAGTCATTTCCGGTCTCCCATTAAGTTCAATACTGACCTAAACATGGACATGAGACCCAATTTTGTTGGAAAATGCAGATTGGTTTGCTTTCAACCAAAAGCCCGAAAAACTCATGTTTTCCGCCAAAATTGACCTTCAGACTCATGTTTAGGTCATGTTTCTCCATCTCAAAAGTTAAATGAAAGTAAAAACTTCACGCAGGATCGCTCCAGTTGAGGTAGGAAAAAAAACGCGTTAGGTACTTTTTGCGCTGGCCCAGAGACTTTAACGCAGAGTAAGAAAGCTATGCGGGGATACGGGGTGGAACACATGACACAACTATTTCGACTTCCAGGTAGGTAAAATTGCATATCCACAAAAGAAAGGAAAACCTGGTTACTGTTCAGTTGACTCGGAGACTTAAACGCAGGGTAGGAAAGTTAGATAGAGCGAAACGTGTGATACACCTATATTGACCTCCAAGTGAATAAAATTGCATATCCACAAATATGAAGGTGAACTTGCACGTTTTTCGTTGACTTAATTTTTACTCTTAACATCTTCCGTTTCTTAAAATTGTTGAATTTTGTTGTTACTTGAAGACTTGAAGACCTAAGGGTATAATAATGGAAATGAATGAGATGCAACCTCAGAATATGCTGGATTTTATCGTGAAGATAGACCGAAAATGACCAAATCCTGATGCATTTCGTAAAATATAGACCCTCAATAAGCAAAAAATCGTAGGGCTAAGGGAATTTAGGGTGGGTCCAAAAACGACCTTTAAGGAGGATATGACTCCTTTTAAGGGATATTTCTGAAAAGGGATTTCACGAGAAAACCAATAGAACCACTTTTAAACTTCTACGTTTTGTACTAACGAAGATGCAAGCTTTTAAAGTCTCCGCATCATGTCTGACTTTTCCAGTGGCGAGGCGGGAGTGATCGATTTCGATATTTCCCCTTTTGAAGCTAGGGTAAAGAATCGATTTTAAGGTGTTCGTTCGAACACTCTATTTATCGATCCTTTTCCATAGGTTTAAATGGCAGATCAATCGATAAATCGCAAAGCACACAGATTTATTCCACTGTGCGGCGGCCGCGCGGCCCGCCCGCGGTGAGTGCGGTGACACAAACGGACCATGCGGAAGTGAGATGCTGTTGACACGGTTCACGCACCGATTCGCGCGCTCGCCAAGCGCCGCCGCCGAAAACGGACTCTCCGAGTTTTGTTGCCCGCCGCCGGCCCCAAGTTCGGTCAACATAACCTCCAAATTCGACTTGGAATTGCGTAAATAATCTTCAAGACCCGAACTGTTTCCAAGTTGAGCTTAATTGACGGCAATCTAGACCCATGCGTTCATATTGAATCGCTGATAAACAGTAAACAGTGAGCGTGGCCGTGAATGAAAGTAAACTACCGCTAAAATGCGGGTCTTCAGGTAAATGTACATCTCAGATGAGGGGGGGGGGGCTAGCTCCCTCAGGAATCTCCTCGGTACCTCCTAAAAAATGTAAGAGATTTTGTTATATAAGTAAGCAAGGCCTATGTTTCATCTATGAAATTGTAAGAAATTTGTTTTCCGCTGAGATCAGCTGAAAATTGCTCTTAAGAAGACTTAATTCGACTTAAAATTGGGTAAAATATCTTCAAAACCCGAACTGTTTCCAAGTTGAGCTGGAGTGACGGTGAACCAGACACATGCATCCATATTGAATCTCTGATAAACAGTAAATAGTGATAAATGTGACCGGGAATGAATGTGAACTACCACTAAAATTCGGGTCTTCAAGTGAATTTACTCTTGAGGCAAGGGGGAGGGGGGCTGGCTCCCTCAGGAATCTGCTTAGTCCCTTCCAGGAAATGTGAGAGATTTTGCCAAATAAGTGCAAGACATATCTTTTATCTTCGAAACTGTAAGCATTAATTTCTCGGCGAGATCAGGTGAAAAATGGTCCTGAGAATACTCAAGAGAGACTTGCTTATCCGCGGTGATTCGGATGGAGGCACCGTGAATATTCGGAAATCGCGGATAATCTGAAATTACGCAACGCGGCTGGAAAAAGTGCATAATCGTAAGCACTGTGTTCGAAATAAAACACGGAAAGACATTGTCTCATGGTAGAAAAGAGTGTAATTATTAGTCATGAATAGATTTAATATTTTGAATGTTAAGCAAGGACGTATTATTTTTAGAGGAACTTTCTTATTAAGTTGGGGGCATGGATTTCCATATGAACGAAATAACACCTGTTAAATCGACCGCGGTAATTCAAACCGCGGATAACGGAAGCGTAAATAGTCGAGATGCTACTGTAGTATTTTTGAGTTCGATGTGTTGAAGTTTCTAAAAAAATGCATATAGTGATTCTTTGGGCATTAGTGGATTAATAACCTCAGGAAGTTCCCTCACCAAATCACATTTTTACCCATTGCCACAGGTGCACTTTTTCCAACTCCTCGCATCTATCGTCGGGAAATTAAAAAAAAAAAACAAAAAAAAAAAAAAAAAAAAAAAAAAAAAAAAAAAAAAAAAAAAAAAACAAAACAAAAAAAAACAAAACAAAAAACAAAAAAATGTAAAAACAATTTACCGAGCGTTTATACGGTCGCGCTTAGACGGGAAGCAACATTTGGCACCGCATCCTCCGTTGTGTTGCGTCATCATCGCGGTATAGAAAACCCGCATAAGCATTTTGTTGCTTCAAAATCACCTTTTTATGTTGATTTTGACGTTGAGAAATAACGAGATTGAATCACCTGCAGCGATCGCCAAAACCGTAATTTGTAACGAATTTACGTCACTAATTTTTAGCATCTATTAATCCATCTATTTTTTATTAAACAACAGAAAAAGTACGGTAAAATTTGTACCAGCCTAGTAAAATTATCCTAAACTAGGAGGCTAAGCCACCTAATGGCTTTATGGAGCAACCCTCCGAAGCGCTTTGCGCCTCAGACGTTATTACTATTATGATTTTACATGACTTTTATGTAACATTTTTGTAATTTAAGTGTACATCAAAATTTTTGTATGGGCCTTTGCCCCTTGCGCCTCGCCAGCGTATATACTCGCATGCATCCGTTCTTTTCAATTCGCATAAGGTAATATTATGAAAGCACTGACCGAAAAAAAACATGAAATCGTAATTATTACAATGTTTTAATTTTTTTTAAAAAAAATTAGATACTCGAGATAAATGCTTTACTTCGCAACCGAATTTTAATATACATAATTTTAACCGACAAAAATTGCATTCTATATTTAACGTAAATGGGTGTTAAAAGTTATCTGCAATCTTTCTCGACAAAATGAATGTAAATCGATAATCTTTTCTCCGTCAATAAAATTAAGACTAATTGACAGTTCAGCAATTCACTCGTAAGTAGTGGGGAAAGAATCGAGAGAATTAATGGAGGCACGTCTCTCTTATCAGAAAAATAAAAAGAAGTTCGTGGATCTAGAATATTTTGGTTATATTCATTTTAGACACAGCTGCGTTCTGAGTTATTTCAAATTAACCCCCGATGCCGAAAAAATAAACTTTCCCACGAATACGAAGCAATTGCCAATTAGAAACTACAATGAAAATAGTTTCCTTTCTATTGAAACAAAGTTTTTTTTTCAAAAACATCGACAAAAGATTATTTTTTCTGAATTGAAGGAAAATTTTTGCTGTATTTTCAACTATACTGCCAAAGTATCGTGATCAAAATAGATAAATAATTTTTTTTTTTTTTTTTTGACCCGTTGCGTATTTTTTGGTTTTAGAGTTTCTCTTTCAATTTGTTTTCTTTTTAAAAAAAACCTTCATTAGATTTCAAAACTCATTTTTCTGGGTACAGAAAATGTTGGCAACTTAAATCGAAGTAAAGGCTAGACCAACAACTTCAGTCATCTGTACCAAAAAGTGTGGTATCCCAAACGAACCGAAGATGTCTCACCGTTTATTATGGTAATAATGAAGCTTTATTCTGATGATTCTATGTGGTCACAAACCTTTTTATTCCTAGGATCATTTTTTATTGGTACTAAGAACCAATTGTTCCCAAGTTTGTTTGCTTTTTTAAAAAAACTCTTTTGATTTCAAAATTCATTTTTCTGTGCACCATAAGGTAACCTGAATCGGAGTGGTAATAATGAAGCATTATTCTAGTGATTCGATGCGGGTACAAACCTTTTTATTCCTGGGAAACCGGACACAAAACCACACAAGGCACAAATCACAGCACTGGACACTGCACTTCACTCAGGGCGACCGAAATATCGCGGGGATGGAGGAGTGTCGAAATTCGAAAAAGTCAATTTTCGTTCAGCACGCTTTCATGATCGGCGGCGCGGCGCGGGTTGTTTCGGCGGTGAAACTCGGCGGACTGATGGCAAGACTGATCGTGGGACGCTGGTTGCTGCTGGTCGCGATACGAATCTGGATCCCCGATTCTCCGACCTGACACCCCCCCCCCCCCCCCCCCCNGGTGGGGCGAGCGGCGGCGTGTTGGATCCTCGAGCGCGTTGCGAGCGAGCGAGCGCGCGTGTTATGCATGCGAGGTCCTCATCGAGACCGCGCAGTCGCTTGACCCCTGCGTTGCCAGCTTGTGGCGCGTTTGGGTTTGAGGGACCTGAGACCATACCCTCCAATGGGTAGGGCTGTAGAAATGCAAAAAAAAAACGTGTCATTGTATGGAATTAGTCGAAATTTAATGATTTTAAAAAAAAAAAATAAATAAAAGGGGAACCTTGATCCTGTACAAAAAAATGTTTAAATATTATTGGTTAAAAAAATGTTTACTTATTCTGTTAAAAAATGTTTCAAATTTTTTTGGTTAGGAAAATGTACAGCATGAAGGTTTTCTTTGTATTCTTAATGTTGTTAGATGCTACTCCTCAAATTATGTCTTTTTTTAAAATTCTGGAATGGACAAAAAATCAATGGACAAAAATCTAATGGATGTAAAAATTCTGTAATGCCATGAAACGCATAGAAATGGTAAACTCTTATATTGATTTAGATGGAGGGAGGGGGGGTCATGACTCAAACTGCGAAGTTTCATATTGAATCCTTCGATCAGTGTTGAGGGTTGCATACGGAGCGCTCCTAAAAAATCTTTAAAATCTTATGTAAAATGGAGTTTCACCTTTCGGTGAAATGTCAGCAAATGTTCAGCAAAAAATCTCTGGCCAGGAAATAATGGTGGATTTGCATGCACATTTTTTATTACTTTTTCTGAGAGTGATTAAGAAGCTGAATCACCATTATTGTTTTAATTTTTTTTCTAAAATGGGCAATTGTATAAAAATAGACTTCAAGGTGAGAAAATTCAGCCAAGTGACGTCATCTGGTGACATTTCCCATTTAAACACATAGAGCGGATTAAATCCTTCTCTCATATCTCCTCCAGTAATTGTTCAGTTTATGAATCAAGGGTATCCTCGTGTTCAGTTCTCTCAGTAGTTTCCACTTAAACACGAGATTCATCTAAGTTCATGACATCCGCAAATTCTCGATTGGGAGGGATACAATGAAAAAACGATTCCATCAGCGGGATGATTATTCTGAAAAAATGGAGCTAAAATTCTAAAATTCTAAATTTATAGTCTAAAGGAGTCCGATAAGACATCGAAATACGATATATTGCATGCTTAAGATAGGGGCAAGTCTTGTCTTGTGCCGACTCAGTTTCGATGATGAGACCGGAGGGATGGGTCTTCGAACGGCATCACCTAGATTTTAAGTAGGAGCGGACTCCCTGCTGGGGGGCTAGGGGGCGAGTGCCCCGTTAACTTTGGCAATATGGGCCTCGCAGGGTCCCCGTTCGGGAATTTTTATAAAATCTCGCAAAGCCTCTCGAAGCCTCTTAAAATTCACCTCTTTCCTCTCATCGGGAGAGGCTCCTACTTTTCATTTATTCATTTATTTTTTTTTTTGGTGGGGTTCGCCCTTTAAAAAATTTGGAGCCAGTCCGCAGTTCACCCCCGTGGGAACCAGCCCTACCCTCGCAGGATTGACATTAACCCTGGCGGGACCAGGGCCGGATTAAGGGGGTGGCCACATGGGCCGCGGCACATGGCGGCAAATTTTGCAATCTTTTTGAATGTAAGTATCAAAAAAAAGAGAGAAAAAAAATCGGATTCAGAAAATAAATTACAAACGAGAAAAGACGACAAAATCTCTCATTTTCTCAGGGTAAAAGTATAGTAATTTCTAATTTTGTCGTCTCTCGGTGATACAAGAGACAACACCTTCAATTAGTCTAGTTAAGAGAGGAACCAAACACGCAATTTGACCTGGAACGGAGCGGAGCGGCGGTCAGCATGAAACACATAGCGCCTACAAGACTGCATGAATACTTCACGCATTGCGTCAAACACACTGCGGTCAGAAGCAGTCGGCTGGAAACGTATAGCGCCTGCAAGACTGCATGAATACTTCACGCATTGCGCCAAGCAGTGTGGTCAGCAGCGGTCGGCGTGAAACGCATAGCGCCTACAAGACTGCATGAATACTTCACGCATTGCGCCAACACAGTGAGGTCGGCGCGGCGGTGGAAGTTAAAATTTTTAACCACATTTGTGTTTTTTCTTTCATAATTTTTTCGTTCGTTTTTTATAAATGGAAGGCCTTGTCCAAACAGGGATGGGTTTACGGAACTGAACTTTTGTTAGTGTTGACAGGGCTTTCACAAAAAATGTACCCAACACGAGTAAACGCGTTTCATACACCCCTCCCCCACCGGCACGTTCACTTGATGGTTTTTATAGATCGTAATCGACGGATCACACGGGTGAGATTACACTGATATCGATTGGTTCAATACGTAACCACAGCCTCAAAAGTCAATTTAGAAATCTGAGGTAACGGGTCTTATGTGATTGAATTTTTACTCGCTGGCAGTGAAAAGTGAAATTGTTAGGAATTTTCTCATTTTCAGCTTTTTCAAATTAAATCCTAAAATTTTTCTTTGAGTTTATGTTCTATTGTTTTGAACCAAACGATACATCGAACCACTGTCGAATACGATCTATTGATGTTTCAAAACAAATGAGAAGGGGGCGGAAAAATACGGGCGGCCCATGGGCGGCAAGTAGGTAAATCCGGCCTTGGGCAGGACGGAGACTCAAAATTTTGGTGATGTCCCTTTTTGAGGCAGACGTCAGGTCATTCGATTTTTAAATTTAACCAACTGCAAAACGAGCCTAAAGGTAAATTTTTCACATAAAAGTTAAAATTCCAGTGAGTAAAAGTGAACGGCGCCACTCTTCCCTTCCTAAACTTTACTCTGTACAGTAAGCTAAAAGAGATAAACATTATTTTAGAAAATGCTAATATTAGGCTCATATAGTCCCTCTTCTGATGTAAGAGCATAACTCTTTTTCGAGATGGGCCCCCAAAAGCATGGAGCTATATGGACGGCAGGGCCCACATTGAAATCGAGTTACGCCTTTGTGTCAGTGGCGGGGGACGATATTTCAATTTTATAGATGAACCAGTTTATATCGAAATAAAGATATAGAGTTCAAAAGATCTCAAATAATCTTCTGCCTAAGGCACATCTGATTAGAAGATGAATGAACCTCTATTTGCAAAAAAAGTCAGGTCATTCAACTATTTATCAACATTAAATAAATGCACACAGAGAAAATGATAAAAAAAAGAAAAAGCTATTAAGACATTGAAGTAATACAAGGAATATCAGCGACTCTGTAGTAAGAGAAAAATGGAAGGGTGAGGTTGGAAATACTCTTATATTGGCCACATTTTAATTACACACATTAATTGATTTCCTTATCTAATAAGATATGTAAACTTTTTGGGACCTCATATGACCTGCTGTCAAAGGTTGTTGACCAGAAATAATTGATTTGTTACACGATATCTTATAAAAATTTCCGGCTGAATTTATTCTATGTATGTAAAAATTGATTGCATAAAATTAATCTGAATGTGTTCATAAAAGTTTAAAAAATCAAATAATTATAATTGGCGAGGGATCACAGCTGTTGGGCCTAGAGCTTCAGTAATTTAATTCAGATTATGAACAGCAAACCCACACGTACGCATCTTCAATAATATCTCGAAAGAACGTTTATAATTCAAACCTAATCTAGAGGGTCTAAACTTTTTCTCTTTTCAGCGTACCTTCATAGAAGATGATTCATTCATAAAGTGACAACGTTTAAGTTCCTTATGTCCTGAATTGTGTATTGATGCTAGGATCTCTCAGACCAGCAACTTCCAAACGTCTATGATCAAACGCTGAGTATCGACGATAAATTTTAACTCAGAAATTTCCCCTTAGAAAATATGGTAAGTAAGCACATTCATCCATTCATTAATACTAACAAAGGTTTCTCCTCACCAATGGATCTTTGCGTTGGTTATACTTCATTTCTCGGTGGTTGGAACTTACACGCCAACGAAAGTTATCTGATTTGGGCCAACGTGTGTCGTATCTGCAACAAAAACGAATATGTTCCCGCCTCCTTCAGTTCAACGCCGTAGTTCAACTAACCCTGCAGCACAAATGACATGTTCCTCATACGTTGAAATCAGGCGCTACGGCTTTCTTAATGTCGATTCCTAGATGCAACTATTCGAGCTTGAAGGATGTCCGTGTTGCATACGCGAAAATTGAAGGCGTTCCATCTTTTCAAGCGCCCACATCCGCCGAGTCATTTCTCATCGCCTGAACTCGTAACAGGGAAAATGATAATGTCGAGGACGATAGATAAAGTACTCGTCTTCTTCATCTCATCTTTTTCAAACTCTTAAATTTAATCGACGTCTCAGAAAGTGAAATTAAATTTAAATCTCTGCAGGAGAGGATTTTCCCTTGTTTTTTTTTGTCCGGAATCGATTAGAAAATGAGAGTAAGAATGACCTCCGCAAAAAAAATTGTGGAGGTAATTTTGAAGTACATCTTAAAAAATTTTTTGCATAGTTTAAAGGCATTCAATGAGTTAAAAAAAGACATTCAAGGGAATTTTCTGATTGTAAGAGGTGATTAAAAATTGCTAGTGCGGGGAAATATTTTTTGAGCAAAATTCAAGCGCCCAACGTGGGGCTCGAACCCACGACCCCGAGATTAAGAGTCTCGTGCTCTACCGACTGAGCTAGCCGGGCTGCTGATTGTCGATTACTGGTCAAAAAAGATTTCCTCAAAGATTATTAATGATGTATTTTGATTGTCTAAACGACGATTATGACTGCTTTTCCGAGTATGTGATGAAGCAAAGGCACATGGAGTTAAAATGCATTATTCCGCATTTATTATTCAGATAAGAGGTAGAAGCAAGAGGAGGTGAATTAAAGAAGAGCCACAGAAGTGTTTTAACAATTAAGAGAAGAGCTTTGTAATTGATCGTTAATTGGTCATATCTGGACTTTAGGACTTTTTTTTTC